AAAAAAAAAAAAAAAAAAAAAAAAAAAAAAAAAAAAGCCTCTTCATGTGGGGCTTGTAAACCCTGTTAGAAAGGACATGTGAGCATGAACAGAACAATCAGCAACAGCAGTTTCAGGCTGAATGTACAGATGCATGTCACAATACTACATTGGCAAGAAAGTGTTTCAGATCAGAGGATTTCACCTTATGTGCTGAGCAGGAGGGTTGGAAGTTGAGCTTTTCAGAGTTTTGACTTGAATTTCAAATGCCTGGAARTTATGCTGATTATGTCAAATATTCAGTTATTTTAAATCTTCTGAAATGCATCTTCAAGAAGTTCTCAAACCACCTCAGATACGGAAAGAAAATACTGTGAAAAGTAGAAGCAAGTATAAGTCAAGAAACCTTGGAAAAATCTTGCTGAATCAGAGGGTAATTTTGTGTTCAGAAAATGAATGTTCTAGGTTAGATAAATCAGATTGAACAATAATTACTCATTTCATGAAATTAAAACAACTAGCTGTACAAATTTACGCAAGTTTTAAACATTCTGTGATACCATTAGTTTTTCCTTGGTGATACATAGTGACAGCTTTAGAACTAAGAATCTGCTTGTTTCCAAAACTGTAACCAGTGTGATGGGCATCAACTGATATTGTACTGATATTGCAACAAAGTTGTAAAACTGGAGAGGAGCATGGAGAGGCATGAAGGAAAGACAGTCAATTGAAATTTTTGTGCCTCTTGGAAGTTCTATAAAAGTTTTATAAGTCAGCAGTGCAACAAAGGGCACCCACTGACATCTTTTAGCACTTTAATCCTATCCCTTCTCCACTTGCCYCTTGGATAACTTATCTCCCAAACAGTAAGGATGAGAAGGGGACGTTGTAAAAATGCAGACTCAGACACAGGCAGACGGTGTGAACACAGAAAATCTTACYAACAGGAAAAGAAGGAAATAAGGAGGATGCATACAATGCCCTTTTCCAGGGAGAGGAATGGAGAAGTCCTGGTGCAGAGGAGAGAAAACCAGGCTCTGAGGGGATACAGGGACTGAAGGATACTGTTTTGTCAGAGGACAGAATATCAGGGGCATCATTAGGACTGCATGTCATCAGTCATAGGAAGAGGGTGGGAAACAGATCACAGAAAGGAATAGGGAGCAAAGCAGAGACAARAAGTTTTGGGGCAAGAAAAAAGGGCTCAGCCGGAACAAGAAGTGTGCCAGGGCAAATAGGGAACTATGGCACAGGAAAGAGGGATAAATGGAATTACTGGSAGAGTAATAAATGACAGGTTTTGCAGGGAGTCCTGGAAACTGAGGGAGGTAAGAGGGTAGTGCAAGAGTAACAGTGAGAAGAAAAAACATCTGTTGTGCCACGATMTCAGCCTGAGAGCATATCAATCACCCCATCTCACCAGGAAACTGTGCTGTKTTGGCATCGAGTACTTATGTTAATTAAAGAGTGCAAACACTGGAATGTATATTACAGCTGCTTTTCTTTTTCCCTCCCTAAGGTACCATAACTTCTTGGGTGGTGATTTTTATACTGCCAATAAATAGTGCTTTGAATCCTCTTCTCTACACTTTGACTACACGACCTTTCAAAGAAATGATTCATCAGGTTTGGTACAACTACAGACAAAGAAGATCCAGAAGAGGTAAAGGCAGCCAGAAACCATATGGCCCATCATTCATTTGGGTAGAGATGTGGCCAATGAATGAAATCACACCAAAGGTTAAAAAGCCCGTGCTTTGTACAGACTCTTCTGATGCTTCAGTGACTACACAGTCAACAAGACTAAATTCATACACGTAATCACATTTTGAATCCTTGCGGTGACATCGGCACTGTTAGGAATAYATCCATGGGCTTACTGCTTCACAGCCATGAGGAAATGAGGGAGGTGTGACACCAGGGCTCACGTGAACCACAGCAGGAAGAAGAGGGAGCCATGTGTCTGTGTGCAGGTAGAACTGGCATTTTACCATCTCACTGCAGTACCTGACATTTTGACAATTCATCCTAGATCAGAATGAGAAAACAGTTGTTTGGGGCTTTTTTCTTCCAGAAGCCAAGTGTGGAAAAGAAATGAATTGTCATTTAAAGCATCTCACCCTGAAAGCAGATTGTTCCAAAATCATCTATTTATGGGGAAGAGTGTGTGTGTGTATATATGTGTGCATGTTTGTGTATTTTCTTTTTGTTTTTTTTTTTTAATTAAATTTCCCATTCCAACAGCTATTTTTTTTCAGATTTAATTGGTTTCCTCATTAAGAAATGTATTATCTCCTCAAAGTTTCTAACTGGCTCTATTTAACTTGCATCAGTTCTTAAAAAGCTTTAAGGAGCAATAGCTGTAAGAAAAATATTTAAATTTCATAGTTAAGTCAGTTAACTACATTTGTCAAAGCCAAACAAGTGAAAATTGTATTCCTTCTGTAAATGTATCAACTGTTTCACACATGAGGTAAAAGGCAATATTGAAATTGTAAAGATAGTTCTAATATAGTTGCCAGGTTGGGCAAGGCCGTGAGCAACCTTGTCTGCTGGGCGGTGTCCCTGCCCATGGCAGGGAGAGGCTGGGACTAGATGATCTCTAAGATTCGACTTCAGGCAGAACCAGAACTGTGGTAAAGAAAAAAAAAATATAAAGGAGAAGCTTAGGAGGTTTTTTTTTTTATCCCAAGTGAGTGCCCCTCAGCTCTAACTGATGGAAGTTTCTGCCTTCGGAAGAATATCTTATTCTGGAAAGACTGGAATGAGTATCCCAGCATCTTGCTGCTGCTCTTTTCCTCACTTTTCTTAACAGACTACCGAAAGTAGCCCACTACAGCTTGCAGACTTCAGCTAATTCCAGTCTTAAGATGTCTTCCTATGTACGAGTGAGATGGTCAAATGGAAAATTATCAGTCTTAATAGGTGTCATGACATCTACATTTTAATCCCATTGTACATCTGACTGGATGCATCAAAGTAATTTAAGGACCACGGCCATTTAGCACTTTTTGGAGCATTATTTTACTTCCCAGAGTTACAAGGGATTTAAAAAAAAATTATCACATCTGAAACAATCCCATAGAGGCAGTTCCCACATACATTATTACTGAAGAGAATCTTTTWTATCATGAATTATTACAACTTGCCTTCTTCTTTCAGTACCATATTCAGTCTGATGGCCTAGAAGCCCAAAAAGGTAAATAAAAAAATTGCTTTTTTTTGCATTGATTTGAAACTATTTGAAATTAAGTTAAAAGATACTTCCAATGTTTGCACTTAACTTCTTAGCAGTATAAGAAGTACAATTTTGAAAAAGTGTGACTCACACTTCAATTGTTTACAGAACTTTGGATTATCTTGAAACTGAAGATTGTCAAGCATCTTGTTTCCACTACTGTATGTTCAACTTAAATAAAATATCTGCTGAAGAAAACTACCTCTTTTCCAAGCTGTTTAGCAACATTTCGGGTTGTGGGGGTTAAAAAYAGCAAAGTGAAATCCTGCCACGTGGATTGTCTTTAGCTAGGGCAATTAGAACTAAAGTCAATAGAACTTCCTTACTCTGAGGGACCAAGCCCTCTCAAGGACTGTAATTGCCTTTGATGAGAAATCACAGGATCCCCGTCCTTGCTATTACTTGTTTTTCACTACTCTTGCTTATGGTTACATTCAATGTCACCTTTCTATCTATCGGTAACACAATAGCCAACACTTCAGAATTTTTGCAACATCTTTATTGTTTTGATAAGTAAACTACAGCTGGTCTTTCTAAGAAAGTCCTACAAGAAAAAAATAAGGCCTTCTAATAAACCATGGCAAAGTCATGYTCTCCTGCAGCCTGCCATTGCATTTCAGCATTATTCTTTTTCACAGTGCCTGGTAAAGGTACAGGAGTGTCAGCACAGCTATTTATTACAGATCAGCCATCTTTCAGACCAAAGGGTTCTGTTAACAGTGAGCTCTGGACTAACAAACCAGTCACAGCTTAAGGCAAAGATAAAAAATAGGACCAAATACTGAAAAAGCTCTCAAGTGTTTCCCCAAAGATAAGAGAATATATGCCACAGATTCTTTCCTAACTATTGGAAGCTTTTACTTAGAGTTCAGATAAACCAACCTATCAGTAAACAATGCTGTTAAACTACCCTGCAGAGGTATATGGTCCATCATAAGGCACTTCGTTACAATAAAAGGTAGTGTAAAACAGTTTGCAGTAATAAAACATCTTGCAAAATATCTGCAGCTTTATAGACRTATATTGCAATAMTGCTAAAAAWAGTAAGGATTGGGATATAGGATGTTTCTAAAGCTCATAAATAAGCCCCAACTTGCCACATTATCCCACACTCAACATGAAGAAAAAGTGTGCATAACAAAAAACTGAAGTTAGTTCAAGTTTCTCTGGGGTTRTCAGGGTTTCTGCTAGTGACAGCTCTTAAAAAGGAGGGCTGACAATTCTTCATCATAGGACCCACTTTCCTACCAGTAATGAGTTCTGAACGTAGCAYACATACTAACTTTGTATCTACCACATTAACAAAAAGAAGAAAATAGAAAAGGGGATCATGAAATAGTTTGAGCTTCAACGAAGAGTCTAAAAGTCAAAATTGAAAAAAAAACCACTAAAAGCCTAAACAAAGTTTTCTTATTCGGTAGACGTACATAAAACATCCATACAAAAGCCCTCAAGTATTTGTGAAAAAGCTCTGAAGGAAAACAAAACTCCACGTGAGGTCCCTAACTGAGGCGGTGGAAAAGAGCCCCGCCGCCGTCCGACACGAGCGGGGCAGGGCCAGCGTCAGCCGCTGGGCTTCAGGGACTCGTAGCCCTCCCTCAGCAGGTCCCGCCACGTCCTGAGGAACCGGGCGTTCTCCGAGCACTTGGTGGCCAGCTCCTCCACCTGGGCCGACACGGCCGACGTCGCCTCCAGGATCTTCGCCAGCGAGAAGGCGGCCTGGAGGGACGGCAGAGAGGTTGGGGGTCGCCGGTGCCCRGCCCCGTCCCCGAGGGGGCCCCGGAGCCCGCCCGAGGGCAGCGCGCCGCACTCACGTCGCCGATCTGCATCTCCACCTCCTCCAGCAGCTCCCGCGTGTSGCCGCCGGGCAGCTCCGGCTGCCCCGACCCCTCGCTCCCGCCGCGGGCCCTCCGGGGCTCGGCGCCGGGCGATCCCTCGGGTACCGCCGCGGGCGGCAGCGGCTCCGCCTCGGCCATGTCCCGCTCGGCTCTCCCGCGCCGGGCGCGCCTCCGGCCCAGCACCGCCCCCGGGCCGCCCAGTCCGGCTCCCGCCCAGGAGCGGRAGGATCGGCAGCGGCCGCGGTCACCGCCCCTCAGGGCAGCTCTGGGAGCTGTAGTCCCGCCGCCGGGATGGGGCGGGGCGGGAGCCGGGCTGGGCGCGCAGGCGCGGGGGGGCTGAGGCCGAGGGGAGCGCGCAGGGCGGTCGCGGGAAGCGGAGGGTGCCCGGTGCCGCTGCGATGCTGCTCTACCGCTGCCCGAGTGCCGGCAGAGGTAACGCGCCGGGCCGGCTGGAGGGCTCGGGGCCGAGGGTAGAGCCGGGGCCGGGGCTGGCTGGGGCGGCCTCTCGGCGGGGCGGGTGGGGCCGGCGGCTGGCGCGGTGCCGAGGCAGAGCAAAGGTCGCGGCTGGGTCGCGCCGGTGTCCGGGCGGACGCGGGGCCGCAGCAGAGCCGGGACCCCGCCGCTCCCCTGCCCGGGCCTCTGTGCGCCTGCAGGACGGAGGACAGGGCTGTGCTGAGCGCTGCCCGCGCCCGAACTCTGTGATATTGACGCCGTTTATTCACCTGCGACGGGTTGCGTAAAAAGATGGGCGGGTTTTTTGAGCGACACTAGGTGTTTTAAAGGGTGAAATAAAGCAGTGAAACGAATACCCTTACTCGGGAAATAGTAACAGCATGCTGACAACTGTTACTCAAGAGCAAAGTTTCTCCTTGGGAGTCGCCTGGATCTTGCAGGCGTTCCCCATCACGTTCCGAGTCCCTGAGCACTCAACAGCGGCGTGGCACAGGCTCRGTGCGCTCACTGGGCAAGAATCTGCCCGTCCGGCGTTTGCACCCGCCTCTGTTATTGTGTCAGACGCGTTCGGAGCAGAGTTTCATTTCTTTGGCGTATGTGCGAAATAATTGATTGTTTTTAAATKCGCGGTATGATTCATAGTACCATCAGTTATGGTCAAATTAAAAAATCCTGAAAGTTAAAGTTTCATGATATATATGTGTGGATGTAGTCGTTATTAGCCTTATAAAGTACTTGTTCTCAGATCCTGCCTGGTTGCAGGTAAAGGATAAGAATCATGAGGTGGTAGGATAATAGCTTTTATGTTATGTTAGTTTGGGTACAGAATTCCCATTAAGGAACCAACATGGATAATCCTTGCTACCTTGCATACAGAAGCTCTATCCTAACTGTCACTGGGCAGGGTTTTGACAGGGTGCTTGCACTGGCCTTGCCAATTTGCATTCTCAACTMAACATTTCAGTCATAGCATGTTGGTGGTTTTACTTATAAAGTTTCACAGAAATGCCCCACTTTAAATATGGTATTATTCTTCTTCATCACTGAAAATAGAGAATTCTTTAAGGAAGCAAAGTTGTTAGTCAAGGCACCTTAGTTCCCAGACCTTTTAACTATAACTAGTTTCCATATTAACCATATTAGGTGTTTTTTATTGCAAATTACATACCTTTTTTTTTTTTCTGAAAGAGGAAAATATGACATGTARTAGCCCTCTGAACGGAGACCTGGTTTGGTAATTTGAAACTTTATTTTTGTCTGTTTGCTTACAAAGAAATTCTAATTTGTTCTTGCAACACTTACTGTATCTGCAGCAAAGTTAAATGTTTACCTGCATCTACTGTTCCTAGCTTTGGCCAAGCACACTTGGGCTTAAGTCTGTGCTTTTATTGTAGACCTTGGCATTTACTTTAGATGAACTCTCTTACATTAGCAGCCCAAACTATGTGTCTCAACAAGTGCCGAGATGTTGGAGGAGCTAAACTTGCATGTCCTGCTTCTACAGTTGTTTGGCCATTTTTAATAGAGTCTGAAATAAACTTGAGGTTCAAAATTAAATCAGAACTTGAAATGTGTTACACCTGTGTACACATGTTATCCTGTGTCAGCTGTGCATGGCTGGCCTGTGTACTGAGTGAAAAATGCTTAAAGGAGCAGCTGCTTTCCCCCCAGCCCCTGATAAAAAAAATTACACAGCATCCTCCTAACTTGAACATTTAAAAATCCTTCTTTCTGTTTCCTCATCTTCACTTCACCTGGTAGCCTTTGAGAGTGGGAAGCTGGCATACTTGTCATGCCACTTGTGTCTCTGAAATCTTGAAAAATTTGGAAAATAACCAATTTGACGAAGTTGTTTCTTGTTTTTGCAGCACGTCAGTGCTTTCATGCTCTAAAGTTGATAAAGAAAGATTGCCTTCTATCACTGCGTGTCTCAAGATGTGCCTCTACWGCCTCTGTGCCTCGCATAACTACACATTACACCATTCATCCTCGGGACAAAGACAAACGATGGGAAGGTAAGTGAAAAACTGCATTCTTTAAAAGCTGCTTTATTGTTGYTGTTTTGKTATTATTATTACTATTATTATTATTGCTGATGCTAAAATGTGTTGCTGTTTTCTTCTTTTTATGGAAATTCTGTATGCTTAAATATAGTACTAATACTTCAAATGAAATTTTTGGTTGCTATCGCACAATGAGTGTCTTTAAAATAGGGCTATAAAATAGCATCAGATTAAACTTTATGCTTGTTTTCATKATGAAAATATACAAGCAGCTTTTGRTTTAGTGATTAGCACAAGAAGATTTAGTTCTGTTCAGTATGTATCTGCTTGGTTTTTTCAGTCATTCTTAYCATGAGGGTTTAGGTTTAGTGAGAGAGAGGTGGGAAGAAATTGGAGATTGGATTATGCTATTATATTTTTTTTCCCTTTGAAGGGGTAAACATGGARAGATTTGCAGAGGAAGCTGATGTTGTCATTGTTGGAGCAGGCCCTGCAGGCCTTTCTGCAGCCATTCGCCTCAAGCAGTTGGCTGCTGAGCACAGCAAAGAAGTGCGTGTTTGTCTGGTGGAAAAGGCTTCTCAGATTGGTGCACATACTTTGTCTGGTGCTTGTCTTGAGCCAAGGTCCTTAGAAGAGCTCTTTCCAGACTGGAAAGAGCGAGGGGTATGTATGAGCATTTAACACTGAACTTAGTTACTAATTATTGGTAATGAACTTTGTATCTGTCTCATTCTGGTATCAGTTAATACCTGGTACCATAAGTAATTAGTTCCATTTTAAAATGTCGATTTTCATCGATGAAGCAAAACAAAAACAGGTACCTGCTTTTTCATCCGTTTCCTGTAGTTTGACAATACTAAAAGTTTTCTGTCTACACAGATATGCTGTGGCCTTTGCTCTTCTCTGTAGTAGTCTTACTGCATATACACAATATGTCTGGTGCAGCCTGGGGTGCCCTGCTCTTGCTGCCTTTGTGCAGAATCCAGCTCCTGTGCACAAGCAGGAAGATGTTTGGTTCTCACCAGTGACAGACTTGTTACTTCTGCACAATAGCTCTTCGTGGAAATGGTACAGAATACACTGACTTCTGTGCAGACACTGTGGTGTAACGAAGATGATTTTAGTAGGAAGATTAGCAGGAAATGAGCTGCCATCTCTCCCAGAGCAGCTGGCTACCTGCTACCACCTGAGAGCTGCAAGAAGTCAGGCATCACCTCTTTGATTTGCCTTATTGTGATAAATATGCAAGTTGAGCTACCTTCTTTAGAAAGGTCTAGAMATCAATGTAGTACAAGCCTGTATACAGCAGATGTTATTTGCAAGGCCATATTTTATTTCTTTAACCTCACTAGTTATGTTGATTCTTGCCTGATGACTGCCTCAAAAAGTACTTTATCTTGTTTCTTGTGATACCTTCCTAGAGAAGTGCTATACTACACCTGTACTTGGCTGGCAGTTTTTGTTGTTTCCATTGGATTGGCTAGAAAAACATAACTCTGTATTTCTTCCATTTTTTTTTTTTTTGTAGGCTCCACTTAATACTCCTGTAACTGAAGACAAGTTTGGAATTTTAACAGAGACATCTAGAATTCCAGTGCCAATACTTCCAGGTAAAGATTAATGAGGGAGAAGAGAGTCAACTTCCTCTGTGTCTATCAACTTCTCCATGAATCAAAACAAGTTTGATTCAGTGTAGTGCAGCCAGTGTATGTTGAATGTAATAAGTTACAGTGATACACTTTATAGATGATGGCTGTGATAACACAGCTGTGATAACTTTACTTTGAAGGCAGTAGCTGTAGATGTGGCATCTGCTGTATACAGCTTCAGTTATTTTGCTCACTGTCCTATGTTTGATGTGTGTTTGTGTCTTTTTCTGCCTAGGACTTCCAATGGTTAATCACGGAAATTACATAGTACGTCTGGGCCACTTTGTCAGTTGGCTAGGTGAACAAGCAGAAGCTTTGGGTGTTGAGATATATCCAGGCTATGCAGCAGCTGAGGTACTAATAACATCAGTGTGTATGAAAAGTGGCTTTGTAATCCCCTTCAGTGCAGTCATGATCATTTGTGCATGTACAGCATTCCTTTTAACAGATACTTATTTTGAAAACCCTGTTTCTGTGTCTGAATTCCCTGGTTCTGATCTAGCAAAGTGTAAGTGGATCGTACAGTATGTGAATGAATACATAACCTTATGCCTTTAATGTTTGACCTAATATTAAAGGCATATTGCTTGAAAATTCTGCTTTAGAACTTTTAATGAATAGATTCAAACCACAGATCATTACAATGGTTTTTGTTTGTTTGAATATTTCCAAAGGTACTTTTTCATGAAGATGGTAGTGTGAAAGGGATAGCAACAAATGATGTGGGCATTCAGAAGGATGGAGCACCTAAAGTAAGTAGCTATCTTCCCTATAACTAAGGATCTAATTGTGGAAATTGTGATACATCTTCTTCTACTGCTACCAATAGTCTTGCTGCAGGGTAAGACAAGTTGTAAAATMTAGGGCCTATCTTCCCTCTGTCTATTTAACTGGATCGATGACCTGTGAAAGTTCTGGTCTCAGAACATTGGCAAATTCTTCTCAGATTAGTAGAAAAAAATCTCTTCAGAAAAGTTGTCTTGAAGGAGACACAGTAAGGGTGTTTTAACATATGTGAAATCAGGAAACAAAGGAAAGAATTCCAGSAACTCCTGGAAAAAAGGTCCAAAGGTGAAATAGAAATCTGTAGTCCA